GCAAGGAAGAAGAAAATCCGGTCACGCTTATTCGTTCAACGCAAATCTCTTCACATGCAAGTTTCCCCAAAAATTAAAAACAAAAGGTAAAGCCAAAGCTCCGCAAATATCTGAAACAAAAAACAAAAAATGGAATCTTTCTTTTTCCCCCTTAATTAGCAAAAACCAGTCTTTGCTTCATTCAAAGACATTCCTTAAATTAACCCATCAAGGTCCACTTTTAAAAACCGATCCTTTGATCGGATCCGAGGAAAATCTCATTAGTCATAGTAATTTTCCGGCGAATTCGTCGGAGAATCACCACCACCGACAAGTATTTCCCCGGAGAGAGAACAAAAGTAAGAAATTGAGCTTTAGTTTAAAGTAGATTGGAGGAGGGTCACTGTAAGATTAAAGCTTGAGAAAAACCCTAAAGGAGCTCGTGGAAAAGCGAAAAAACAAAAAACTTGAAAAGTTTCAAAAAGTTTATTCGAGGAGAGAGACGACAAAGTTTCGCGTATATAGAGAGAGAAGATGATTACATAATCCACAGAGAAGAAGGTGAGATTAAGTCGTTAATTATTAATCAGTTTTGGTTTTTGTTTTTGGCGGATTAATTAGCCTTGGTTTGTCTTAAATGGACATACTTACTGTAGTAATATAATCCTGTGGGTCCCACTTTACTTCCAAGAGTGTGAAATCTTCTGTGGCTGTTCGTACTATAGTAACTATACGAACCGGACTAGGTTGACTCCGGTTAAGTTCTATAATTGTGGAATTTGCTTTTGAAATATAAATTTGAGCATGTGTTCTTTACTCTTGTTTTCGAAAAGAATCAAAAGATTGTTTGTTTTCGTTTGACATTATTTAGTTAAGCATGTTCTATTATCTGTATCCATAGTGTCATGCTTATAGTTTTGGGATTATGTGAATACAACGAAGATACCAAATTAGTATAGCTATTAAAATTATTCTTCTGTCCATATGCAATGAATTACAGTTTTATTGTATGTGTATCATTATATATATCCACTTTATCAATATGAGTTTATCTCAATCAAAATTAGTAATTGGCAAAGTGTGTATTTATTCTCATAAGAAGAGTTCAAACAAAACATTTATTTGATTGATCCACATCCATTAGAAGCAGTCTCGAATCTTTTTGTTTTATTTAAATTATGGTGGGTGGTATTAGATTGAATATATGAAATCGGTAGCTTGTAACCTTACTCACTCTCATTTAAATTTAATAGTTTTGTATTTGTTTGTATTCACGACTTAGACGTGTAGCTAACATATCGATTGATCAACCAATAGTTATTAATTTAAACAACTTTGATTTGTATTATCTTATTATATGAAGTGATACTCTATATAGTTGACAG